GAGTGGTTGCTCCTCAAGGGAGCAATCCTGGATGCACAAGCAAAGTCCATCCCATCTCGGAGGAAAGGCAGCAAAAGGGCACAGCAGCCCCCTTGGCTCCCCAGGTAGCTGGTGGACCTCCTGCGTCTTAAAAGGAAGACCTACAAAGGATGGAGGACTGTAACCACCACCAAGGAGGAATACTCTGCTCTAGTCCGGACCTGCAGAGAGCAAACCAGGAAAGCCAAGGCTGCAATGGAACTCCAGCTAGCTACAAGTATCAAGGACAATAAAATGTCCTTTTTTAGATATGTGGGGAGCCGGAGGAAAAGCAAGGGCAACGTTGGACCCCTGCTAAACCAGATGGGGCAATTGACAACCGATGCCCAGGAAAAAGCGAACTTGCTAAATGGGTACTTTGCATCAGTTTTTCACCAGTCCCATGGGACGGCCCTGCCCACTATGGGTCAGGAAGGCCCAGGTGAGGGAGATTCCTTGCCCTCCATCAAACCTGACCTTGTGAAGGAACACTTTGACAGGCTGGATACCTTCAAGTTAGCCGGCCCTGATGGGTTACACCCAAGGGTACTCAAGGAGCTGGCAAGCATCATAGCTCAGCCCCTGGCATGGATCTTTGAGAGCTCTTGGCGCTCTGGTGAAGTGCCCGAAGATTGAAAGAGGGCCAGTGTTGTGCCTATCTTCAAGAAAGGGAGGAAAGTAGATCCGGCAAACTACAGGTCCATCAGCCTGACCTCTATCCTGGGGAGGGTCTTGGAAAAGATCAAAGAGGCCATCCTTAACAGACTAGCTAAAAGCAATATCCTGAGGGATACCCAGCATGGGTTTGTTGTGGGTAGGTCTTGCTTGACCAATCTCATTTCCCTTATGACCAGGTGACAAGGGGGAAGAGATTGACATTGTATATCTTGACTTTAAAAAAGGCTTCGAACTGGTATAATCTGCTGGCTGGGGAATTGGCTCCACGGTAGGACCCAGAGGGTGGTGGTCGATGGGAGCCAATTGTCTTGGTGCGCGGTCACCAGTGGGGTCCCTCAAGGCACTGTCCTAGGGACTATACTATTTAACATCTTCGTCAATGAAGTGGACATTGGTGTCAGAAACAGACTGGCCAAGTTTGCCAATGACACTAAACTCTGGGGTAAAGTATCCATACCGGAGGACAGGAGGGTGATCCAGGCAGATCTTGACAGGCTCATGAAATGGGTGGACGAGAACCTGATGGTGTTCAACATCGAAAAATGCAAGGTTCTCCACCTTGGGAGGAAAAACCTGCAGCATGCTTAGAGGCTCGGCAGTGCTACACTGGTTAGCACTACAGATGAAAGGGACTTGGGGGTCATAATTGACCACAAGATGAACATGAGCTTTCAGTATGATGCTGCGGCTAATAAAGCGAGCAAAACGCTGGCTTGCATCCATAGATGCTTCTCAAGCAAATCCCGGGACATCATTCTCCTGTTGTACTCGGCCTTGCTGAGGCCACAGCCGGAGTACTGCGTCCAGTTTTGGGCTCCACAATTCAAAAAAGGATGTGGAGAGGCTTGAGAGGGTGCAGAAGAGAGCCAAATGCATGATCAGAGGTCAATAAAACAGCCCTTATGATGAGAGGCTGAGAGCCATGGGACTCTCTAGCCTGGAAAAGCGCAGGCTCGGGAATGATTTGGTGGCTACCTATAAGTTTATCAGGGGTGCTCATCAGGATCTGGGGGAACATCTGTTCACCAGAGCTCCCCAAGGGATGACAAGATCGAACAGTCACAAACTCCACTGCGACCAATTCAGGCTGGACATGAGAACTTCTTCACTGTCCGAGCCCCCAAGGTTTGGAATAGACTGCTGCCAGAGACGGTTCAAGCACCCACTTTGAACACCTTCAAGACACATTTGGATGCTTATCTTGCTGGGATCCTATGATCCCTGCTGACTTCCTGCCCCTGGGGCAGGGGGGGCTGGACTCAATGATCCTCCGGGGTCCCTTCCAGCCCAAATGTCTATGAAATCTTGCTGACTTTTCACCAGGTATGATAAATATACCTATGGTAATTTCTGTACCAAATGTTTATGTAAGGAGAAATCCATGTTGTTAACACTACTTGGTAAAATAATCTTTGTTACTTTTTGTCATTTTTGTTAGGATCCTAGCTTGCAAAATTAGTTGTGGCTTTTTACCCTGGAATAGTAATAACCTTGCCCAACAAGGTTTTAGGGATTTTTTCAGTGCATCAATAACCTTGTGAAGTGTTAACTTTGTAATTCTGTAGTCTGGACCTATATATAAATGTCCTTGTCTAATGCTAGTTTGCACTGTCTGTCTTAATATCTCAGTAATTTCTGCAGTGAGTCTGAGAATCTCATAGTTTAACCCTTTGTTTATGTAATAGTCTTGAAACCACTGATTAAGGAGCTAACCCGAAAAGATGCTTGGTTTCCTTTGTGAATTAATGGCTCATATCTCTTGCACATCAAAAGACTTTTACGTAGCAAAGAGATTTGCTACATTAGGACCATGCACCTTGAGGGCTAGATAATTAATTTGAATTGGCACTTGTCCAATTCACAGTACAATCTTTCTAATTGCAAACACAATTAGCACAGTTGCCTGCTTATACTCTTTGAAATTCTTAATGTTACTCTTAAAAGTTTCTCAGTCTAAATCAAAACTTAAATCAAAGCGTAAAAATGATATAAAAGGCAATATGTATCACATTACAAGGAAATACAGTTTAAGTGAAGTAATTAATTATGCATTTCAGGAATGGGATACTGTTCTATAAAAATAGGAAACAATTATATTAATTTAAAAATCAATGAATTAAAAATTAATTAAAAAGTGGTCATATGTCTATCACAAATCTTAAGCAAGGGGGAAAGAGGAAGAAAAAGAAGCGGGAGGAGGAAGGGACAGAAGAAGAAAAGAAAGGTGTTCAAGGAGTAATTAACCACTAAAATTAGTTTAGAATTTCGTTTCCAAAATATTCTGAAAAAAGCATTTCAAATGCAGTAAACTTTTCAAAGTAGTTGCAGCTGTAAAACAATATTCTTTGTAAACATTCAAAGGTGATTTTAAGAAAAGATACAGATTTAAACTATGCACTAATTGTGTGCACTGCACAGTCCATCCACTAACTGATAGAAATTGGGGGAAATGGAAGAAAAAATCTCCCTAGTGGATTTATAATATTAAAATTATCTGCTGTACCTTCTGCTGAATTCAATGGAATAACTGGAATGGTGAAAGAAGAGAATTGGATTTCTGTCTATGATGAGGTGACAGGTTCTTTGGATGGAGTGAGAGCAGTGGATCTAACACACCTCGACTTAGTCAAGACTTTTGACACTGTCCCACAATATTCTCCTTAACAAGCTAAGGGAACAGACTGGACAAAAATACGATAAGGTGGCTACGTAACTGGTTGGATCATCATATTCAATGAGTAGTCATTAATGCCTCAGTGTCTAGTTAGGAGGAGGTATCAAGTAAGGTTCCCCAAGCATCTGTCCTAGGTCCAGTATTTAATATTTTCAATAATGATTTGCATAAAAGGGTTGAACGCATGCTTAATCAATTTGTGGATGGCACCAAGTTGGCTGTAGTTGTACTCTGGAGGGTATAGCTAGAATCCTCTGAATAGTCTGGAGAAATGTTCCATACTCAATCAGATGGAATAATTGCATGCACAAAGAACAGCAGCTAGGCTGTAGTACTATAGCGAAGGACCTGAGTAGACCATAAACTGAGTATGAGCCAGCTGTGTGCTCTTGTTGCAAAAAAAGCCAACAGCTTCCTGGGTTGCATTAAGAGGAATGTCACTTTCAAAAAGAGGAAAAAGACATTTTTGCTCTGTTCAGCGGTGTTGAGGCCTCATCTGCAGTACTCTGTCCAGTTGTGGGCCCCTCAATTTAAGAAGAATGTGGACAGTTTGGAAAGAGTCCAGTACAAGACAATAAAAATGATCAGGTGCCTGAGTAGCAAGACTTATGAGGAAAGGCTGAAAGAACTAGGGTTACTTAGCCTGGAGAAGAGACAACTGGAAGGGGATTCGATAATAGGCTTCAAGTATCTGAAAGAAGATTACAGAGAGGCTGGAGATGGGCTTGTCTCTGTGGCTGTAAGGGATAAGTCCAGGAATCATGGCTTCAAGCTTCAGCAGGGGAAGTTTATGCTGGACAGTAGGAGGAAGTTTTTGTCTATAAGGATAATTAGACATTGGAACAAGCTACCTAGAGAAGGTCCCTGGAAATTTTCATAAGCAGACTAGACAACACTTGTCTGGGATGGTTTAGTCAGGGATGCTCCTACCTTGAGCAGGGGGCTGAACTAGATGATTTTGTGAGTCCCTTCCAGCCCTACTTCCATATGATCCTGTGATCTAATGATATGGATCCAAAAAAGGGGCCCCAAAGGGAGTACCTGTTGAAATAACTGAACTATATCAATATTTACTTTTATAATTTATGGGGCTACTCAGGCAAAACTGACTTGGAAGGTAGATGCCTTAGATGTGAGTGTACCGAAGGGCTAGTGCTTTGCCAGAATTTCAGGTTCTTTCTCCAATGCACTCAACCCAAAAACCTTCATGGAATTTTATCATTGGTACATTCTAATCTGCATAAAGTATAAAGTACAACATAAACCAGTTAATTTGATGTTTTGCTTATATTACTACATAGACATCAACATGATTGACCATTTCAGAAAGACCTTTTTAGGAAAAGCCAGATTATGTTGCCTCTTCATTTTATATCAAAATAAATGCAATCAGTGTGTTTAATATCCTTAACACTAAAGTTCATTTTTTCACCTAAATTTTGAGCTAGAGATTATCACAGTTCCAGTTTATTTCCTTAAATAAGGGAACTTGCACAGTATATGTTGAAGCCAGTTTAATGAACTGCTGGAATTAATGGAAATGAAATTGTGTTATCTTTGTCTAGACTGTAAATATGATAAACCACTTTTATGTACATCATTAATTCTTTTTATCTATTTTTTTTTAAAGAATCTCAAGATACTTGTCAGTGGAGCAGAGTACTAAGTAAGTTGTAATGGGGGTAAAAGAAAGGTGAAAAAATGTAAAGAGGAGCAAGGTCTTTTTTATTTGACACATATAATCCTTTAATATACAAACTGATAAGAGAAAGTAGGGAATCACACACAGAAGGTTAAAGAGTTGTAAGCCAAAATACTTTGAGCAATTCATAAGCATTTAGGTGTATTTTTCAGTCTGCCTGGGGATGTGTACTTCTAGGATTTACCCATGATTTAGCTGTAGCCAAACTATGGAATCGGAAATAATATGCTTATATCAAGCGGTCCATGGTTTTAGGTGAAAAAGAATAATTTGAGATGGGGAAAAATGTGACTTCCACCATTTTTCTTTATTTCCAAGTAGGAAAAGTCACTGAAGGGGAACTCCAAAGAGTTGGGTTCTATTCCTACCTCTCCCACAGATTTCCTGTGAGACCTTGAGGGCAAGTCAATTATGTGTCTATGCTGTAGGTTTCTCTCTCTTTTATACGTGTGGAACATTCTGCCCATTCGGCTGTCTGAATGCTCCACATACGTAAGCTTCCTATTGCAGTGGGACCTAGGTCCAACTGTAATATAGACAGCTAAATTTAGACATGCACCCTGGAAAGTATTCTTTGTCTTTCATTTCTTGGATTATAATAGTAATTAGTAACCAGACAAAGAAGGCTATGCTATGGAATAGTTAGTGACCCCTGTTTTACTTTATATGGATTACACATAAACATTTATACATTTTTGTAAGATAAATGGTCTTTAATGTACAAAAATGTCTTCTGTAATTCCTCGCACTGGGGAACCTGCGATACTGTATCTGTTTAGACGAACCCAAACTTTCTACTGTGGCAATATGAAATATCTCATTCTATGTTGTCCTGTTCTCCCTCACAGGAACTATACTGTTAATGTTTTTGGTATACAAATTTTTCACCACTGTGAGTAGCCCACACACGTTCACCTGCTGCAAAGCAATAAGCATTCCCAAATCTGTATGAGTAATCTGCATCTAGTTAGACTAGCACCTGATTTCTATGGTCAATATAAACCAGAGCAGTTACCTAATAACCACTAGTTGTAAGTAATGAGTGAATCCTGCAATAGAAAAAAAATTCACTCTAAAACCTAGAGGAATTATCAAACCTTCAGGAATTATCAAGATTTACTAGCATTTAATACCTGGCTCCTCCTAAAGCCAGTGCAGGCTATCTTCCCATCCTGCCCATCTCTGTACATGATGAACCATGTATTTGAGACATGTTTGCTGCTGTTTATTGCTCCATATTTCTATAGCAGGGCAGCTGGCTATATTCTGAGACTCACTGAATTGGCAGGATAAATAGAAAAGTGCTTAGTATTTTATTTTAACTTCAGTTAAGAAGTACATATATAGAAAAAAGTTTTTAAAAAGGCTTTGATCTATTTCTACAGTGAATTACAAGATTATTTTGAGCAATTATATGTATTTAAATTATAACAGTCATTAATTTTAACGTATATGAATAAATCAGAAGTTTATTTAGCCATGTCTACAAGATTTAAAAGAACTTCAGCTGTTGATGTTTTCAGTATGCAATATTTATTATTAGCTTTAGTACAGCTTAAATTTATAAGTAAAGTAGAGTTGGGGATTTCTTGGGGTTATATCTTTTATTGGACAAACTGCATGGTTAGGGTAGAGTTAGAAAAACTTTCAAATGTGGATTTTCCATTGTAAGTGGTGGATTTTAATGTCTTCTATGTTACGGTAGTGTTAGAGTGGTATAGCTGTGATGGTCCAGGAATTAGTGCGACAGGCAAGGATTTAGAGTGATGTTGTAGCCATGATGGAATTTTGTGAGAAGCAAGGTAAAGTAGAGCAGACATATATTATGTTAGCAGCCAATTTACCTTCTGAAAATGGTGCTTTGTGGTAACATCTCTAGTGATCTCTGCCTTTTCATTTCACATTTCATACAAGTGCCCTAGATCTATTGCATAGGTTTTTTGACAAGCTGTAACATCTCAGTGTTTACAAAACCAATCCATTAAAAAAAAAAATGAAGCAGAAAGGTGATGCAGGTTTCTGTGACTTATGCAGAACTTAACATATAGAATAGAAAAAAATTGCATATGAAGTAAGAATAATTATGGGTTTTAGTTCAAATTACTATACCTTCTCCAAGTCTGTATACAAATAATTTTAATCCTACCACGAGGAAAGCATTTTTGATTTTTTTTCAGTACTGCAAGAATATAGCATATGGTTTTAGCTAGAGTAGTAGTTCTCAGCCTTTTTCAGTCTCAAGTCCTCTCCACTTTTCAAGATTTTACCACACTGTATTAAAAAACAATTTAAATATATTATGAATTTGATCATATAAGCATTATTCCATTGTTAATTATTAATTCATTATTTAAATGATATTATACTCGCTGCCCCCATGGCCAGGTGGATCTGTGCCATGTGTCTCCTGCAGAGTCAGATTGGGAAGTGGGTGTGGCAAAGGTGTGTGCTCTTACTGCAGCCCTTTCAGGTCCAACCCTGCACAGTGTTTCCTGGAAAGGGAGGCAAGCGGGACAGATGGAACTGTTCTGCATGCCTCTCTTTTCAGGAAACACTTTGAAGCCAAACTGAGAAATAGCAGAAAAGCAGACTGCCTTACATTATGCAGACAGGTGCCTGTTTCTGCTGAGCTCTTCCCAGTTTGGCTCCAACATGCTTCCTGAACCCTGAGGTACATGGAGCAGTTCTACATGGTGGCAGTCTGCCCCCCACCTCCTGATCCCCAACTGCTTGCTCCTTTGCCACTACTTTCCCTGCTGCAATGATGGGGACTAATTTAAGAAGATGCACATTTATTTTCTGTTTGTTTCTTCCTTAATAGTCAACATAGTGTAATTCTGTGTTTCTTTGAAACTCATGTTATAAAAAGTAAAGATTGCATAAAGCTTGATTGTGGTACATGAAACTGAGTCTGAAACTGAGTCCCTACATCAACATCTCAATTACTAAGCACGTGTGTGGCAGCCGTGCTAACACAGAGAAGTAGCAACATCAGCTACATCAAGAACATCAGCTGCTTAGCAACATCAAAAGGAATAATACATTGTGCCAAATCCTAAGGAGTTTGTCCAAGTAAGCATTAGATAAAGACTTATCCAGTATATTACAATTTTCTTTCTTAAAACTTGATTTGGGGATTTTTTGCTCTTATCTTGAGAAAAAAAAGTGCATCCTATTCATTTTAGAAGAAGAGTCTTATGAATCCCAATATGCTTGCATATTTGGCATGTACTGAATTATATAGGAAACATAACAGCTGCTGCTACTATTTTGTGGGGCAGAGAGACCTCAGGGATAGACAGATGTAACAATTGTATCAACTGGAACAACTACGCAAGGTTCTGACTGCGGTGTACAGGGTCGGGGGAGGGCGACTAAAAGATGGCTGTTTCTGGTAGTCATGTGATCACAATTGCAACTGCTCTGGCAACTGAAAGTCACCACTGCCCCAGTGCCTTAAGCACCTGGCCATGTTGCTAAACTGCTGGTCGGTTATCAGAGGATAATGATAAAGCTGTTAAAATGGAACTGTTGGGCGCATCCACATGAGCCTCTTGCCCCACCTCAAACCCCTTTGAGGCGGGGCAACAGGCACATGTGGGAACAAAAAAATGTTCCCCGCGCTGCAAACTTGCAGCGCGGGGAGAAAAGTAACCACCTGGACATCCAGGGGTCTAAAAAAAGCGAAGTATAAAAAAGCAGGGCAGACTTTTTTGAGGCAACCGGAGGCTAGGTCCTCCATAGAGATGCTCTGGCTGCCAGAGTGTTTCTATGGTTGCCCCTCGCCCTGGTGCTGCAACACACAGCCAGCCAGGCCATGTGTTTCAGCACCAGGGCTCCGATGACGGTGAGTAAGGGGTCGGGGGGCTGGAG